CAAACTAACAGTTTAACTAAGCCATGGCACTTATGGAGTAAAACACCAGAAGACATTTAGGATTTTATCCTCCAAGGACCAGTGTGACAGATTTAATTGACACCAGTCACAGAAAAGGGAATTATCAGATCATTTTGGTGAAGAACACAATACTGTGATGAAGGGAAACCACACATCACCAGTATTTGATTTTAATTCCGCTGTGCCACTAACTGTGACTCCAAACAAGGCTTCCAATAAATAATCTCCTCATGTGAAAGAATAGTGACCTGAGGCTGTCACATGTTGAAGAGAGAAATCTTTTTAATGATACTGATTGACACATTTTTATAGATACAAATTTAATTTTCATTTGATTTAATCGTTGGCAAATTACTTTTAGTTAAAAGTGACACATATACTGGAGTGTGAACTGGAGTTACTGCACAGGGCTGTCACTTTACAACCCAGGTTTAAACAGAGACACACAATTATATTCTAGAAGGCCAAGAAGTGGATCGGGATCTACCAGTAGGGGGTGCTCGTACAGCATTAGCAATTAAAGTTAAAAATTTGAGTGTGTAGTGGTTACCATATACTGTAAGAATTCAATCACGTTGTACCATAGAGCTAGGTGCCTCTAATCAGTACCCAAACATATAATATAAACACAACATAAGTAGATCACTTCAGCCTGATCAATTGAACATTACATTTTTTGCAGATCATCATACAACCTACTTTAGTTGACAGCTGTTAAAGGAAATGTTTTTTTTACTGACACACAAGCTTAACAAAAAACAAAAGACCCAGAGTAAATTAAGCACATTAAATATGTTCTTGTCTAACCCAGGTTTTCCCCACTGACTCAGCATTCCACTTTAAAATGGTAATTTCCTGTTAGCAAGCAAATTTGGTATGTTTACGTCCAAGGACGCAACAGTGTCAGACAATGATTAACAGTGTCCTTGAACACGTGATGAAAAGCAAAACACTATGGTTTCTGGTAACCTGCATCAATATCCTGCTTTTTCACAATCATATCATTCAATGGCTGTTAACGCCTGTGTGCGGCACAAGCATTTGGAGAATTCATTGTGGCAGAGTGTTCTAAAAAGTTACTTTTTTCTGCTTCTAGAGTTCTACACTGCTTTTTTACATCTGTTATTAGTCACTATTATATATATGTATATATATATATATATATATTAATACCTCTGTCTCTGTGTAAGAGCTGCACACCAGCTCACACTGTGAAAAACTGTTCAAAGAAAAAGTTCCAGCCCCAGAGAGAAATAAGGGAATATTTGATTATCTACAGTTATATGGGCTGAACTGCAACGTCGTTAAAATTTCCCATCATCCCACTATTATATCATCAATACCAGACTATCCTGATACTCCCGACACACAGTGACACTGCTGAGAACAGCCCAAGGCACAGAACGTTTCCCTTTGTTAACGGAGCAGGAACTCTACATCTACGACAACTAGATCTACCTAACGCTGGCTCTGACAGTGTGTGGGCTACAGCAGCAGCAGCAGCCCAGCTGACAAGCTGGATGAGGTTGTGTCCTGGCATCAACTGGCAGGTTGAAGCATAATTTATTATTAAAAAAAAAAAGGAATATAATAAGAACTGAAAAAAACCCAAAACACCTAGTGCAGGAACCGGATGCTCATTTTCTGCTCCACGTCCACCTTCTCCAAGACCTGAAGAAACAATAACAGATGTGGTTGACTTCACTTATGTTAATGTTTAAAGGAACAAGCTGAGAAATGTCACAACCACCACAAACATATTTGGTAAAAATTAACACTCAGAATATGAAGCCCTTCTTTAAAAAAACAGCTTCTGGTTTTGGTTAAAAACAAGAGGAGGAAACGTTTATGCACCACTGACACCCTATTGTAGTATTTCATGAAGTTTCTCTCTTTGTGCCTGTATTTTCAATAATGTTTTCCCTCCACAGGGGTGGAGTCGACAACCTGTTATTTGTATTTTAGAAAGAGCACTGGTGTCGGTGCTGCTGTTCAGACTTGCCTTGATGAATTCATTAAAGGAGATGGAGTTGTCTCCGTTAGTGTCAGCCTCCTGGATGGTCCTGTCAGCGATGCTGCCCAGCTGCTCGTCTGAGATGTTCACTCCCACCATCATCCTTAAAACCTGCCGAAAATAATACAGACAATGTCGCTTTAACGTAAGTAGGTGGATACAAGTAGGAGCTGCAGCTGTCCATTAAAAATAAACAGAAAAAGTGAAAAAAGTACATTTTGCAAAATAACAACCAACAATCCCGACATCGAACGAACGACCGTGTAAAAACACAACAGAGAAACCAATGTTTAGTGGCAGCAAAATTAAAGGAAACAAAGCTTTGATTCTGGTTTTAATGGGAATGATTTTCTTAATGGGTTAAAGTCGACTGGAGTGGGAGGAAACACCGGACAGAAAGAGTTTGTCTGGTGAAACAGGATAATGTGTAGGTAACAGAAATGACACACTGTGTGTTCCAGGACTCCCGTCAACGTTAATGGCAGTGATACTGTGTTTCCTAAAACAGCCAGCAAATACATATTAACTGCCTTCCACTGATTGGGAGTCGCCAGCATCACAGCGATGTTGTGGGCAAAACAAGAAGAGACTGTGAGTCTGAGACGGTAAAGCTGCAGCTTTACAAAACTATAGTGAGCTGAATGACAACAAACATTTGTGTGTGAGTCATAAAGATGTCATATTCACTCCTACATAAGAAATAATGCAGTTTTTTCCCAGAACACACACACACACACACACAAGGAATGTTAAGGACAACAGCTTCTACAAACTGCCGTTCAGATACACCTTAATGACTAAAACCCAACCAAATCTATGAAAAGTTATCATATTTATTATATATTTCTAAGTGTGGTAGGATTTCCCCTCCATCTACAGTTCCTCACAATCTATTGTTTGACTTTTGATTTACTGTCCTGGGATCAGTGAGGCTGGTCTGAAGAACTTATTCTTTCACATCATGGTTAATAATGATTACTCATGATTAATTACAATTTATCTTGTTTAATCAAGATTAATTGGTCTGGATAATAATGATTAATCTACAGCTATGCTGTGTTAATCTGCTCCAAATGTTAAAACAACTGATATATTTCCAATCAAATCAAATCAACCACTGTCTGTACTTGAGACTTTCAGAATAATAATAATATATCAACCATAACAAACACTGCACTACTGCAGTATAATTGTATGTTAGTGTTACTTATTAATGGTTTAACCTGCACTCTCTTAATAGAAATAGTCATATATTCAGGTGTAATTATTGCCTCTGTACTTGACCTACTCCTGACCTGAATCCAGCCCATTGACAAAAACACCAGTGTCAGAAAAAAACTGGACAGAACCGACAGACTGAACAAAACTGTCATCAACCACTTATCCAGTCCAGTGGATTATAATGGTAGACTGATTCAGTTTTAGTTCAGGTTACAGTGTCCACGGAGTGTTTGTTACTCAGTGACTGACTCACCTGCAGCAGCTCATCCCGGGAGATTTTGTCATCTCTGTCCAGGTCATACAGACGGAATGCAACTGGGAAAAAGAAAAGAAAAAACAACCAAAAATGAGAGGTGTAGTCCAATGTTGTGAAATCCTCTGAATGTGTGAGTAACTGGTGAGCAGCTCCAGCAGACACTCACAGAGCAGTTTGTTGGTGCGGCTGTTGAGTGGCTCTGTGGCCGCAGCGTTTTTGTTCTTCTCGTTGTCCTCGATGGGTCTGAAGTGGGCCAAGGTCCTCATGAAGCCCCTGAAGTTCACCTGGTCCTCCCTGAAAAACCACAACTCATTCAAACAACGACCACCAACACTTCACTGCCAATGTCTCAATGTGGAACTGATACTAAATAATAAAGTGCTCATTCTTTTGTATTGGCTCAGCTCAGGTTTCACCAGGAGTCGAACCCTCAGCTGAGGGAGGAAACACAAAAGAAACACAAGCCCAAAACCTTTTCACTGAAAAACAAAAACTCAATTCACCTCCTGTCTCAACTTCTTTGAGACGAATGAACCAGAGCAGAGAGAAGAAGAAAAAAGACAAATCTAAAATTACACAAAATAAATACCACTATTATCAGGTTTTAGAAACCAATAAAAAAAAAACATGGCACCGTCCCCACACACGGCTCCCCGGGCGCTTATAAGCTGTTCAGCGTAAAAAGCACTTCTGCGGTGACTGTGAATTAAACACGACTAGAGGATCTTGCCTCATACAGACTGTGTTTTGATGATGATGATGATGATGATGATGATGAGGAGGAGGAGGAGGAGGAGGAGACAACTCACCCTTCAGGGAAAAAGGCATTGATGATTCTGTCTCCCAGAGGATTTATGGCCAACTCTGGGATCCTCTGGAAATCTTCTCTACTGCAGGAGTCAGAACATAAAGTATGTGAGAAGCAGATACTCAAAATATAGTCATTTATGACCAAACAAATGTTTTATGTAATTTTGGAATAAAATATATAATAATGAATAATGCAGGTATAAAAATGCTTACAGTAAACTTTACGTTTGTTTTTCAAATCTACTTGGATTTTTTCAGTTCATGATATGAACGTAGAACAAATACATAAAAAAACCCCGGAAAATATTAAACAGTCGGTCAGACTGTTACGGAGGCCAATGAGTGACAAGAATGTCACCTTGAAGACAAGTGAAGCGCAACAAGTGTGACAAGAATGTCACCTTGAAGACAAGCGCAACAAGACTGTGTGTACTGTGACTTGGAGCAAGAACCTGTGAAGCCAGTACTGTGTTTTGTGTAAATAGTAGTGTCTTCAATAAGTATGGATTCTGTAAATCCCATTTAACTGGACAGTAGCTAAGACTCATGCAGCTGAACTCAAGTTTTAGCTGTTTTAATGACTGGCAGTTCCTTTACTTATCGCTGTTCTGTCCACAAAACAAGCTAACGTGAAGTTAATCACACACCAAAGTGACGTCACACTGAGGTCTCACTGGTTAATCAGCTGTTGAAGTTATTGAAGACCATTTCTGCACAATGACCATTGTACATGTATTTCACTCATGTGGTACTCGGGTCACACAAACACTGTCAGAAGCGCCGTTTCTTACCTGAGTGTTCCGTTTTCACCTTTATCCAGGCTGGTGAAGCGGCTGTAAAGGCGGGTAATCTGACTGTGGGAGACTGGGAGTGGGGAAATTACAAAAGACAAAATCAATTACTAGACATAGAGTTATTGTTGTATTTTATGCAGAGTATAAGAAAATAAAGTTCAGCAAAGTATTATTATTATATATTAATATTGTATCTTCATTTATAACGTTTGCCGATAAATAACGGTGAAATACTGCAAGTATAAGGATTCCGTGAATTCATAACGGAACTACTGCAGGTATAAATACCGTAACTGTGAAATAGTAACCGTGAAATTTTGCCCATATTGCGGCTCAGAATATTAGTTACATAAATTAACCTTAGGTCTGATAATATCCATTTAAATTAGTTTGGTGTAGTTTCCGTTATTACTTGTTTTCTAGGTTGGTGTTTTTTAATTCGCCTTTATTTGACATAGTTAACCACATTCAGAGAAATACTTACAGCCTGTTTCCTTTTTAATTTCTTCGATCTCCTCTTCTCGTAGTAACGTAGACGCCCTCGAACCCATGGTAAAACACTAGTGTCGGTAAGAACCAGTGCGGGGACAACTGGAATTCACTTTGCGCAAACAAACACTAAAGAATTTAGAGTCTCAACCTGGAGCAACGTTCACGTTAGCGCACAGGCTAACTTTGAGCTACCTACCTGCCTGCTCGACCGCTTGCTTGTTTCAGCCTCAATAAAGACACGATCATAAACTAAGAGCTTTTAACTGTCAAGATGATTCCACTCTGATCAGCGTCTTTTGGGCGTTAACCTTTTTCTTAAGTCTGTCTTGTTTTTCATGGTCGAAATACCAGTTTCGGTCGAGTTGTCTTCCTGCTGTAACACAGTTGGGAGGGACTAACACTGGGACCCGCCCTCCTCCAGGACCTTTCATGAAGCGTATCGGTAGCTGCGTCTTTTGCCTGACCAAATAAAATATACTCTAATAATAATAACAACACAATAATAATATTAAACCTAATAATAATAACAACACAATAATAATTAATTATAATAATTAATAATAATTAATTTTTGGCCACTGCCTGGCCAAAAGAAGTCGCCACCTGAATTTAACAAAGCAAATAGGTACGAGCCTCCTATTGGATAATTACTGCATGGGCGATTATCTTTCAGCTGGCAACAAGTTATTTAACCTCAACTTGTGCAGTGAGTTGCTTCTCATTCCCTAAACAACCATGTCAAAAGACACATCCCGTGGTCGTGGAAAAGATGTTAGTCTGTTTGAGAAGGGTCAAATCATTGGCATGCA